TCCCCCTTAAAAATTGGAACTCGGTATGGTACATTCAGTAGGAAACTCTTCACTCGGACTGTGGCCAAGACCAAGAAAAGTGCAAAGAGACAGAGGAGGAGTGAAGGAGCGACACTCCTCCGTGGTTAACATTCAGGGAGCCTGTCGAAAACCTCCCCTTTCCGTATGCTGGGAGGGTGAGAAGAGGCAGGAGGTTGATCCTGTCCCTCCCCCCAAACCCCCTCCCTCCAAAAGCCATGATCTTGCCCTTTCAGCATCAGTTGAGAGGGCAGCCATCTTGGCCCCAAAAAACAGTAGCTGAGAAAAAGGCTGCCATTTGGATGACAACTTTTCCCCTTTTTAAACTGCACTCCTCTAATTCCCATTTTTCAAATTTGCTCCCCCAAACTGGCTCTCCCCTCGTGAGCTGTTGGTTTTTTTTTTCTGGGGGGGGGAGGTGGGTGGATGGAAAATGTTCATCCAATCACAGAGTGGGGAGGCCCAGTTATCAAAGAGAATTAGGAGCAAACATTTCTTCAACTCCCCCACTGGAAGGAAACATAGGGACCCCTGACCAGGGTTAACTAGTGCAAATTAGGGATTAGGGACTTATAAGGTCCCTGTACCCCATCCCTAGGCTGGGATCTTTGGGTGTGGGGAACTGAGTCAAAGATGGGGTGTAAGGTGCTATTTTGCAGGGAAAGTTGGTGGGGATACCCCAAAGCCCACCAAGGGAGTAGGATGGTTCACCAAAAACCATCTGGAGTGATTGGTGAGGGAAGTGATACTGGGGGAAAAAGGGGGTTAAGGTAAGGATGGGAGGTCATGTGCAAATCTTGGGCTTACCCACCCATCCAACCCCCATCCATTTTTCTGGCTATTTGGTCTAGTCTGGGAGAAACCATCGGGGAAAAAAACAGGGAGAAAGTAGATTCCCTTCCCCATCCCATATAGAGCTCCTCCCTCCTGGCCCCCAAATCTGGTTTAGCCCAGAAGAGGCCATATGTAGAGGCAGGAAGAGGTGCAATCTACCTACTTCTTTTGCCTTGGAAGAGTCTGGGGCTCACTAGATTTGAGGGTCAAAGTAGGGCTGAGATTGGTGCTGCCCTGGGCTGGGAAAGTACTCAGCCATGGAACAGATAGGTAGCCCTCCCCCCAGCACCTCCTTGACCTGGATGGGAGAGGCCATCTCCAGAGTCTAGGAGTATAAGGAGGAATATGGAAGATCCAAAGGCATGGAAGCCAAGGAAGGGATGGCATCTTAATGTGAAGGAAATGGGCACAGAAACCCACCGTCGGGAAGAATGGACTCCAAAGCCACACTCCCAGGTGAGTAAGTGTCAGGTATCACAATGGTCTGGTCCAGGCCCTGGGCCACAAAGGATGGAATGTGCTGGGAAGCATCTGGGCAAGGGCTTAGAGAAAGCTTCAGAACGAGGGGGGAACATTAGGTGAGAGAGATGGTTTCCCCCTAGGTTTACGAATCAGGGGGGCGGGTTAGACATTCAGAGCTGGTGGGGGCTATGAGTAGAGATTCATTTAAGTATATTGCTCAGTTGCCCCAAGGGCTGGAGAAGGGATGGGAGCTGGCCCTGCCCCTCACGGAGGCCATTCCCTGGAGGAGAACTGAGAGGGGAACCACCAAAGATCCCTTCCCAGGTGGTGGGAAAACTACAGTCTCACACAAAGCAGCCTGACCCCTGAGCTCCAGAGGCCCCCAAGTCCCTGCACAAGAGTGTGGAGGGGCTCCCAAGGGGCAGGGAGGCCAGGGAGCTGGTAGTGGCAGGGGTTCAGGGAGGGTGGCATCTGGTGAAAGGGGGGATCTGGGCCCAGAGCTCACCCCACATCTCCCTTCTGGGTTCTTTCAACCCCTGCCCTTTCCCCTTCTCCCTTAGGGGGGACTGGTGGAGGGAGAGTTGGGGGCGGTGGAGTTGGGGGGGTAGGGGGTGCTGCTTGAGGGTTGACTGCGTAGCCAAAGACCCCTGGTAGGAAGGGGAGGGCCCCCCCACCCTTCTCATCAGGTAGGACCATGTTAAGAGCAACTGGGAGAGCGGCCAAGTTGCTGAAGTTGTAAGGGTAGGCGGCAAGAAGCTGGGGCCCATAGACGAGTGGGTAGGGCTCAGGGTAGAAGGTGACTTTGGCAGCCCCCATCCCCTCCATCCGGTCCCCCCGCCCAGCTCCCACTGGCCCCTCACTCCCAGCTTTTCCCCTGCCACTGCCAGATTCCCGGCCGCTCCCGATCAGAGCCAGTGGAAATTCCTGCACGGGTGGGTATGCATAGGTACCCCCTCCTGCCACCACTGAGGGCTCCTCCCCCCCTGAGATGACAGGGTCCTGGAGTGAGGCGGTTTTGGAAGCTTCCTCAGCAGCAGCGCTCCCGCCACCCGCCTCCCCGCTGGATGAGGAGACTTGCATCTCTTGGGGAGCCTCCTCCTTGACGTCCCCAGCTCGGGTGCCAACGCAGCCCTTGGAGTAGGCAATGACAGGCGTGGGGGTACCCCCGGGCCGCTCGGCAGCATGCCTCTGCCCGTGGCGGCTCAGGGCGGCTGCCGTCTTGCACACCTTGGCGCAGTGAGGGCAGGCGAAGCGGGTGGAAGGCTTCCGTCCAGCCCGAGAGTTGTGGGAGCCCCCGCCGTGGGCCTCCTGGTGCTTGCGCAGCTTCCTCAGGGTGGCAAATGTCTGGGCACAGTCCCCGCAGCGGTGCCTCCGCTCGCCACGGGCACGCCCTGCGGGGCCCTCGGCCGCCGGGGTCTCCTCCCAGCTCCTCCGTTCCAGCTTCTGTCTCCAGCGAGGCGGCCGGCGGCCTCTGGGCATCCCGCCGCCCCCGCTGCTGCCCGGGCCTGCGGCTCCAGCCTTGCGCTTGGGCTTGTACGAGTAGTAGGGCCTCCAGAGCTGGTCCTCCCCGCCAGCCTTCGACTCCTCCTCGTCCTCCTCATCCTCCTCGTCCTCCTCCTCGTCCTCCTCTTCATCCTCCTCCTCGCTCTCCTCCATCTCCTCTCCGCTCAGCTCCCCAGGACGCAGGTCAGTTTCTGAGATGCGGCGCTTGACAATAGCCTCCTCACCAATTCGTACAGTGATCTGACACAGTGGAGGTGTAGCCTGCAGCTGAGAGGGACCCCCGCCCCCGCCAAGCCCACCAGCTGGCTTGGCCGTGTAGGTCAGAGTCCTTGTGGCCCGTGGGTTCCGGCCCTTGGCCTCCTCCGTGGCTGTGGCTGGGCTGCCGGCTGGGGCTGGGCTGGCGGGGGCAGCTGCAGGCACAGGGGGAGGAGGTGGGTACTCACGTTTTTTGGGGGGCCGTGGCGGAGCAGTGTAAGTGATGACTGAGGCGGCTTGGGCCCCCCCTGCGCTGGCCGGCCCACTCCCTGCTCCACCACTGGTGCTACCCCCATGTACAATGACAGAGGGAGCTGGGTGGGCAAAAGTGATGACAGACGGTGGGGGGCCAGGCTCTGGGGCAGGTGGGGGTCCGGGTGGTGGGCTGGCCGGCATTGCCGCAGGGGCCGGAGTGTTGAGGCTCGGAGAAAGGGGGGCCTCGGGGGCTCCCTGGCTGTAGGTCTTGTAGGGCCGCTTGGCCGCCCGCATGGGGAGCAGGCGGTACAGCTTGAGGGTATTGAGCTTGGGCTTATAGCCTCCATTGGGCGTCTTCTCACTGGCTAGGAGGCCCGGGCTAATGCCATGGAAGGCTCGCTGGTGGGTCTTCAGGTTATAGTAGGTGACAAAGGTCTCCCAGCAGAAGATGCACTGGTACCTGGGCCAGGACGGCATGGAACAGGGCAGGGCCAGAGCCAGTTGAGTCAGGGGCCGTGAAGCTACGGCCTCAGCTTCCCACGTCCTCTCCTGCCTCCACTCAGACCTTGGACTGCCCCAGCCATTTGCTCACCCTCCTTAAAGGCTGCTTGTCTCACCCTGCCAGCCTCAGAAAGGACACCAGTCCCAGTACAGTGCCCCCCACTGGCTGTGAGATGCCAGGCCTCAGCTGTTCCGTCTGTGAACTGGGAATAATCACACACCTTGCCTACCTCCCACAGCCTTCTTCTGAAGCTCACATGACAGAAGGGGGAAATGTCTTATGAACAGGGGTGCATTACAGCTGTTGCTGGACATGCCTGAGCTCCCTAGTCCTGTCCCATGAAGCAACTTTCTCTTCCTCGGTCTCTTCCACATCACCAAGCCAGGACATGACACCTGGAGGTGCTAATAAACATCAGTGGAAGGAAACGGGGCTGAAGGGAGGCAGAAGGGTGAGTGATGGAAAGCAGGTGAGCAGGGGCTAGTGGGTGAGCAGGCGTCTCAGGATGAGTTTCTAGGCCCCATGCTCTGCCCATTCTCTCCCTTGTCCCTGTGATCCCTGAGTGGACAAGGTCCCATGTGACCCCTCCCCCCACCATCCCCGGCCGTGCAGGCCACTCACCTGCGTTCCCCGGTGTGCCACACCTCGTGCTTGGTACGGTACTCAGCCAGGGCGAACACCTTCTCACAGTAGCGGCAGGGGTACTTCCTCCGCCACGAGTGTACATTGCTGTGCCGCTTCAGGCTGGACAGGGTCACGTAGGAACGCTCACAGGCCGCGCACACGTACAGCACGTGGCCGCCCACCACCTTCACCACGTGCTCGGGACCACCTCGGAAGCCCACTGGTGGGGGCAGGGCTGAGGCGTCCACTCCTGAAGGGCCACTGGGGCCAGAGCCCCCGGCTCCCAGCCCTGCAGACCCCCGAGTGCTGGCCCCCCTACGACACTGTGCCTCATGGGTCTGCAGCCGCTTGGGATGGATGAAGCTTTTCCCACATCGGGGGCAAGGGAGGGGCCGCCGGGGCAGGGGAGGCTGTGAGTCAGGGGCCTGGGCCTCAGCCCTGTCACCCTCCCACTCCCCAGCTGGCCTAGGCCCAGGCCCGAAGTTGTCTTCTTCAGGCTGCGAGGTGGCCATGGGGGCTGGGGCAGGAGGTGCCCAGGCATCACCTCCCTCCCCCAGGCCCTGCAGGCGGGAGATGCCCAGACGCCGCCCCAGAGCGCCGATCTCTGCCACGGCTGCCCCGTCCCCTCCACCACCAGGTAGTGCCAGCCGGGCACTGTAGATGAAATTGAGGACATCAGAGAAGGCAGCTGCTGGGACCCCTGGCAGCTCCAGGACCCGGGGTGGGGATGAAGCGGGAGGTGAGGGTGGAGGGGGAGAGGAGGAGGAGGAGGAGGAGGAAGAAGCTGTGGTGGAGGCAGGGTTGGGGGCAGAGCCCCCAGTAATTGGTGGGAGGGGCAGTGGGGCTGAAGCGAGCAGGGCCTCTCTGAAGAAGGGACTAGAAGCAGCCAGGACGCTGCGGTGAGCAGGGAACTTGGTGTCTCCGGCTATGAGGGTGACGTCACAGAAGAGGCCACGGAGCCGCTGCTCATTGAGCTGGCGCAGGACGGCGGGGGCATGGGACGGGTCTGTCACCTCTGCTGGGGGGGGCATGGCGCCAGCCTAGACGGAGGAGAAGAGGCCAGGGGAGGATCTCAGAGGCTGGGCAGAGGGCGGGGGCCTCTAAAATCAGAGGTGAGCTGGGAGGGGGTTGGGGGCTGTTGGCCAGAGACGGGTGGAAGGCTGACTGACTTCTGGTCACGGAAGTGAGGGGTTAACCTTAGCCACCCCACGTCCGGCCAGCATCCAACGCCCGTGTGTCAAACATCGGGGGCTGGTAGAGGCCAGGAATACCTCAGGTCTTGATGAAGGTCAGGGGTCAAGACTTCCAAGCCACAGACTAGCGAGGTAAGCAATGGACACCTCTCTCCCACTGGGAGGGGGAGGGAGGCCCCACAGCCTCTGCTGACCATTTCTCAGGACTCCCCGGCCTGGACAACACGGCTGCTCTGCTGGCCTGCTGCCTCAGGCCCAGCCTCCCGCGGGGCAGACCTCTCGCACCACCTCACCTGAGAGCACAGCCAACATGGAGCAGAGCGGGGGTGGCTCAGCGAGTCCCTTCTGCCGGGCCTCTTCCCTCTGTGGGGAAACAGAAACCTCAATAAGGGAACCGGACGGGAGGGGACCCAGGAGGTGGGGGGTGGTGCAGTGTGCAGGGCCAACGAGGCCCAGGCTGCTCTGCAGACCCTGACCCTCCTGGGAGCCTGACAGGTTATTTGCTGAGCTGCCTCCAGTTGGACCTAGGAGTTCACACAAATTATTGCAAAGTCTTGTGCTGCTGGCCCCCAGAAGTACAGGAACAAGATAATTTGCATATTCCCAATTTGCCTCAAAACAATCCAGGAGCATAGTTCAATCCCGTAGGTCCAGGGAAGCCTGCTGGATCACTCTCAAGTCCCTTTGGCCCAACCTTCGGGGCTCAAAGGAAATCAAAGATTTGCATGTTGTCTTTCACTATAATAGTCTCATTTACATATCAAGATAGATTTGTTTGAGCTTTTTCATTGGACCAAGCTGCTAGATATTCAAATTAGGAGAGGACCTCTTGACATCAAATCTTAGAGGGGGTTTCTGGCCTAGGTGCCAGGTGACCACTGAAGACCACGAACTCTTGCACACGTGCCAGCTTGCTCCAATCTCTGAAGGGCACTAAAAGGCCACCAGACCGGAAGTGAGGAAGCTTGGGTCCCACTCCTTATTCTGACAGCTGATGGCTTTAGGACTTTGGCTTAAAAAGGGGAGGGTGCGGAATGCAACCCCTATCTCACTCTTGCTGGGAGGCTCATCCAAAAGGAATAGCAGGCAGCTCAGATGTGAGCTGTGGTGGTCACTGCCCAGAAAGCACCTCACAGCCTCGGCTTTGGGGGCTAATTTTTCAGTTGAAGATCTCAATTCCGGAGCCATAAAGTAACTTAGCCAAAGACACAGAGAGCTGGTCATAACAGGTGGGGCCTGTTCACAGACCCAGGACTCTTGACCTGAGAGCAGAGCTCTCGGCCCCTCTCATGAACCCTCCATGAAGCCTGGGAGCCCTCCCCTTGCGCACGCCCTGGGTCAGACATGACCTCCGAGGTGTCCTGCGTCAGGAGTTCCTCATACAATTTCCACCCCCCAGAAAACGCTCTCTTCCCATTTATTACTCATACTATCTGGGCTAAGATGTCTTCCCTCCACAGCCCATTTCATGTTCCCGAAAGACTGCTCTGAGCCCTCTCCTGGAGGATGAGGAGGGTGGTAAACAGGGGTGATATCCAAAAGTTCTAACAGCCCCGACTGCCAGGCACACACCTAGGTCAAATGCCTCTCCATCAGTTGAGTTGCTGGATTGCAGGTGGGTCAGGAATCCAGGGGAAGGGGCCCCGTTCGCGGTCTGGTGTTCAGTTCTGTTTGTAAAATGGGGAAAGAGAGCAAGGCCTCCCACTCCCTTCTGTGACAGCCACCAGCCAACGGGGACCCCCAAGAGTTGATGCTTTTACTTGCATTACCTCATTTGTTCCTCATCACTACCCTAAAAGGTAGCAGTTAGCTTCTTGACTTTAAAGTGACAGGCTGAGGCTCGGAGATGCTAGGTAGCTGCCCAAGGATATATGACCAGTTAGTAGCAGGGCTGGGATCTGATCCCAGGAAGTTTGGCTCAAAAGCCTGCGTTCTTGATTATATCACATCAGGATGAAGGACATGTTTACAGCTGTGATACTGTGATATAACAAGAAATAAAGTTGACCCTTGAACAACATAGGTTTGAACTGCACAGGTCCACTTACACGTGGATTTTTTTCAATGGTAAATATGACAGCACTACACGATCCGAGGTTGGTTGAATCCGAGGATGCGGAACCTTGGATACGGAGGCCCGATTGTAAGGCTATACTTGGATTTTCCACTGCGTGGACGGTCTGCGCCCCTAACCTGCACACTGTTCGAGGGTCAACTGTAATATATTTGGTCTTTGTCTCCATTGCTGACACAGAGCTCTTAAAACTCTTGTAATTTCCCAAGTAACAGGGGTGCTAGGAGAATCTTATTCTAACATTTGGTCTTTGAGCCCAGTTCTTGACATTAAGCTCCTAAACTCCTTGGAATTTCCTGGGTGATAGGAGAGTCTCTTGTTCTAATGAGGCGACTCTTGGTGGGATCCCGGATGCTGGCTGGTCACCAGAAAGACAGAGCCATGATTAGAAGTTTGGAACTTTCAGCCCCAGTCCCCCACTGCCTCTGGGGAGAGAAGAGGGCCTGGAGACTCAGGTAATAATCGATCATGCCTATGTGATGAGGCCTCCATAAAAGTCCCTGAACTATGGGGTTCAGAGAGCTTCTGGTTGCTAAACACATCCCCATGGCGAGAGGGTAGTGCACCCCAACTTTGTGAAGACAGAAGTTCCTGTACTCAGACCCTTCCAGACCTCGCCCTCCGTACCTCTTCATTTGGCTATTATCATATCCTTTGTTATATAATAAACCAATAAATGTAAGTATTTCCCTCAGTTCTATAAGCCATCCTAGCAAATTATCAAGTCTGAGGATGGGGTCATGAGAAAGCCCGATGTCTTGATGGTCAGTCAGAAGTACAGGAGGTCTGGGGACTTCCCTGGCGGTCCAGTGGTTAGGACTCTGTGCTGCCACTGCAGGGGTCACGGGTTCAATCCCTGGTCGGGGAACTAAGATCCCACAGGCCGCGCGGCATGGCCAAAAAATAAAATAAAATAAAATAAAACTAAAAGCTTTAAAACAAAAAAAACTACAGGAGGTCTGGGCTTGCAAACTGGTATCTGAAGTGGGGGCAGTCTTGTGGGAATGAGCCCTTAACCTCTGGGATCTGATGCTATCTCCAGGCAGACAGTATCGGAATTGAACTGAATTGTAGGACACCCAGCTAGTGTCAGAGAACTGGTCAGTGTGGGGAGAAAAACCCACACATTTCGTGTCAGAAGTGTCATGAGTTGAGTGTACAGGAAAACAGTTATGTTTTTCTTTGAACAGCACCCGCTAGGGCCGCCACCAGCCCATCTAGGATCTTTGTGAAAATTAGAGGAAGGGGAAAAAAATAGAGGAAAAGGCCACGCACAGCAAAGCTTGATTCTGGCCCCCACTCACCCCCTTGGCCAGGCCTGCCCACCTGCACAGCCATATGGGCTTGGTGCCTACTGAGGCGTGGCTGTGTGCTGACTGCCAAGATATTTGGACAAGGCCTATCAAGGCTTTTTAGAACCATAGAGGTCCAAGGCTGGCCTGGCCCTTGGAGATCATCTAGGACCATCATCATCATGGTACTTGGAGCTAACATTGATGAGAAAAATATTATGTGCCAAACCCAGTGCTAAGCATTTTATCTGCATTATCTCAACACTCAAAAGGACCACAGTGAGGCAGGGGCTAGTGTCAAACCCATTTTACAGATGAGGAAACTGAGGCTTTAAATACTCTAGACACCTCACTTGCAGGTAGAGAGAACGTAGTGACGGGGTGATTTGCCTCTGGTCTCACTGCTAACCAAGCTGGGTTTGGACCCTGCTCTGCTGAGTTCAACTGCCCCACCAGAGGCCACTGCCCTGCAAGGGTTTATGGGAGGTGGAGAAGACACTAGTTATGGGACCCTGGGCAAGTTACTTAACCTCTCTGTATGTCAGTTTCCTTGTCAATGAGGTGGGGATAATGAGAAGCGCCCACTACATAGGGTTGTAAAGAATAAACGAGCTGATGACTGGCAGTACGTAGAAGAGCGCCTGCCATGCAGCAAATGCTCAGGAAGTGCTAGCTCTAATTATCATCTTGGAACTCAGTCCCGGAAAATGGTGGGGGGAAGTGGTGAAGAAAAAGGGGCAGAAATCAGGCTTCAGGGTAGGTTTGATGGCTCTGTGGTTTTTAGTTTGTTTTTACCATTTCTCTACTCTTAACTGGCTGTGTGATCTTAGAGGTGTGACTGAGGTGCGGATCTGAGGACTGCCACCAGATACACCCCACCTCTTGCTGTTCCCTCTGCCTGGAATGTTCTTTCCTCAGGTAGCCTCATGCCTTGCTGCCCCACCTCCTTTAAGCCTTGACTCAAAAGTCACCTTCCCCCAAGGCCCTCCCTGGCCGCCCCGTGCCTCCCCAAACTCCCTATCCCTCTCCCCTACTTTATTTTCCTCCTTGGCATTTAGTAAGACATACTGTTCATTCATGGCTAACTGCACGCTCCAGGGGAGGGAGAGATTTTTGTCTGCTTTGTTCACTGCTACCTCCAGTGCTTAGAACAATGCCTGATACATAGTGGGAGATCAAAAACATTTTGGGTAAATGAATGAACCTGCTTTCTTAAAGTCGTCCTGGAGTGTGTCCACTTTCAGGAAGGACGCCATCCTCAGTCCTGGACTGACTTGGCCAGGAGCTGGGGGTGGCGAGCGTAACTTGACCACTTCCACGGTGCTCACGCTTTGCCTGATTTACCTCCAGGGCTTTACATGCGTTGCCTCATTTATTGGTTTCCTCAGCCACCCAAAGTTGGCATTTATATTATCCCAATTTTACAGATGAGGAAACTGAAGCTCACAGAGGGATTTACCTTGCTCAAGGTCACACAGCTCGTGAGCAGCAGAGTCAAAATTCAAATCCAGGCCTGTGTGAACCCAGATGCAGGGTCCTTCCCTCTGCCACACCGCCGGGGCCAGCGGGCTACCGAAATCACCACGCGAGGTCTCACGTGCTAAATGGTAACTGTGTCATATCTGACTCCACCCTTTCCCTCACTCTCCACATCCAGCAGCCACTGAGTCTGGTCAAATATGCAACCCAGTTTTTTTTGTTTTTTGTTTTCTTTTTTGGCCATGCTGTGCGGCTTAGGGGATTTTAGTTTCCTGACCAGGGATCGAACCTGGGCCCTCAGCAGTGAGAGTGTGGAGTCCTAACCACTAGACTGCCAGGGAATTCCCTGCGGCCCAGCTTGGGAATGGCTCTGGAAACCTTCCCTCTAACCTGTCTCTGGCCCCCAAACTAGCTCAGGACCTTGTTAACACTCATGGTCCAAGGCCATGGCCTCCCAGCTATTCCCCTGCTTCTGGTCTTAGCTTCCACCATCCAGCCTTCCTCTCACTGAGGATCAACGGCCCCGAAGCAGCTCAGGTGGCATCACTCCTGGGCTCAGAAACCTTCTCGGGCCTCCACTCCAGAATAAAGCTCAAATTCCTCAGCCGAGCATTCGTGTCTAATTCCCATCTTCCTCTCTATTCTTGCGTTGCATGAGTCTCCCCTTAAGCACACGCTGTGCTCTCCATCCTCAGCAGTCCCACACCTCCATGCCCCCGTCCATGCTGGTTCTCCTGCTAGAAATACAACCTTGCCCCCAGCCTCTTCCCCAAATCCCTCCAAAATGTTAAGATCTACCTCAAATGCCACCTCCCTCTTGGCCCTCCCTGACCCTCAGGACAAGAACAATCTCTCCTTTGCCTGCTTCATCAACATTTTGTGCTCCTGTGGCCAGTATCCAGTAGTGGATGCTAGGTTCTCCCTCCCAGGCTGAGACTCCCTAAGTCACTGTTTAAACACACCAGTCTTCTGAAATGGACTGGTGCAGGTGTTAAGTTCTGCAGAAATTGGGTAGAAGTGCGTGTGTGTTTGGCGGGGGTGGTGCACAGAGAGGCCCACAGAAAGCTTCAAAAGGGCACTAGAGGACACATATAAAGAGCACACGATCTGGAATCAGACTGGCTGGGTTCAAATCCAGCTTTACTTCTTACTAGCTAAGTGGCTTTGGGCAAATTACTTCTCTGGGCCTCGGCTGGCTCATTTGAAAAAGGGAGGTACTTAGAACTCCTACTTCCACGCGGCGCTGGGAGGACTAAATGAGTGACCATACGTAAAAGCACTCAGGACAGTGCCTGGTGCACAGTGTTAAATAAGTGTTTACTGTTGTTATTAACCAAGCCCCAGGAAGGGGCTCAGTGCTGGCAGAGGGCTGACAGTGACTGGCACAGGCATAGTCCCCAGACTGTAGCTACTTTCCAGGTATGTTTTCCATGTGCTACCTACCTACAGCCCTGTTGGAAGACGGACAGGGCAGGTGATTAGCCCCATTTTAAAGATGAGGAACTGAGGCTCACTTAGGGAAGGTGCCAGCGAGGAAGGGGTAGGGCCCGAACTCCTCAGTTCTAGTCTAGGCCTCCTTGCCCTCCACCAGGCCGTGGTGCACCTGTTGTGCAGGCCTGACATAGCCAGCACGCCCCCACGCAGTGGGGGGGGCCTGGCCGTAGTGTCCTCCCTGCCCCCGTGCATATGCACCCTCCCCGCCAGGCCAGGGGCAGACCACAGCGATATGTACACTTGGAACACACACACACACACACACACACACATACACACACACACACATCTACAGAAGGGCCTGGGCCCCAAAGGTGAGGAAAACCTGTTCTGAGGAATCTGCCTAGTGAGCAAATTCCATTCCCAGACCCTTCCACGGTCGCAGAAGGGGCCCAGTGTGCATCACAGAAGAGACAGAATAGCAGAGATCCCTGCAAGGGGGCAGAGAGAGGGTTGAAGCAGGAGGAGACTGAAAACTTCATGTTTCTTTTTTCCATTTCAGTGACAAGAGTCACACCCGGCCTTTACATAAACATGGCCAAGGAGCTGCTCTGTCCAAGTTGAGTTTCCTCGCAGCCGCCAGGCCTCTCCACCCGGTGACCCTGACGCGCTGGGCGGGCCGGCAAGGGGCTAGCACACAGACCCTGCACAGACTAGCTGGGCTGCCCGACAACACCCAGGCCTCCTGCCTGCTGCCCTTGCTCTGCCCCATATTTATCTCCCCTCCTTCTTCTAACATATCCCCACAGCAGCCCCACACGGCCACTCCAACACGCAGAGGCAGGCACGCACACACAGCTCGCAGCTGATCTCCGGAGTCCGAGGCCCACACGGCCCTTGTCACGCCATCGCCCTCCCCACAAGTGTTTTCTGACCAGCTTGCTTCCCAGCCCAACAGCACAGATGGGCTCCCACAAACGACGTCACAAAAGAATCCCGTAGGGAATGTCGCAAACACACAACCTTCCCCTCGCTCGGCTGCCCCTCGATCCCATAAACACAACCTGCATGTTCCACCTAGGGCACCTCACACTGGCGCCAGCCACCCTATGGGTACCTGAGACACACCCTGGGGCTTCTCACTTCCTGCAGGACCCGCGGGACCTGAGTTCTAGACATGCACCCCCCGCGCCCTCCCTTCCCCGTGCCACCTGATCATCACATGCACCCAAGAACCCATCCAGCGGGCCATCGTCTCCAAGACTGGACCACACCTCAGCAGGGCCGCATGAACGGCACCGGACCTGACACCTTCCCACTCAGACTCAAGGGTACACAACTGCCCCCTCCAGCTGGGCACACAACACCCTGCACTCCGGCGCCCTCCACAGCACTTACCCCTCACCAGCTACGCAGAAAACAACAGTTCCCAAATAGTTCATATGTGCAGCGCCAGACACATATGTGCAAGAAAACACACGCCGGTGTAAAACATAAAAACCCCACACCTAACAAACTCCGCCGGTACTGTGCCCGGCTTCAAATGCGGACCTGTCACCCAAAGCCACAGGGCCACATCTTGTAATTCTGCCCCACAACACTGGACTCTCTCCGTCTGGCTTTCTGTCCCCATAGCCCGGGAGAGCCCTGCAGGACCCCTGGCTGCCGCACCAGCCAACAGTGGTGACCAGGAGAGGTTTACCTTGCCCCACAACACAGGAGGAGACACACAAGCTCCAGGACTCACAGCCACAACCCTGCCCCGACGGCGCGGCGGCTCCGGGTCGCCTGCTCGCCCTGCGCACCCCGCACACCCCAACTCTAGGGCACTCGGCGGCCCACCCCTCCCCCCACCCCCCTGCCTGGCTCCTACGCCATCGCCCTCCCAGCGGCTTGCAGCGCCGGCCCGGGCTCACACCCGCCCCGCCCCACCCCAACGTGCCCCACAGGAGGAGGGGGACACTGGGCTGCAGAATTAACCCTTCAAGCGGGGAATGAGCGCGGCCCTTTCCACGACCCCAGGCGATCGCGCCCCCCCGGCCGCCGCTGGGTCGGACGCCGTACCCGGGCCCCCTTAGTCGCCCCCCCCCCAGCGCCGTGCGCGCCTGGAGGCGGGGCCAGATTCAGCCCCCGACCCCTGAGCCCCCAGGTCAACCCCAAAGGGGAGCGGTCGCGGCACGGGACGCGGCCCGGGCCCCCGCGGCACCGGGCAGCGGGGAGGGGGCCCGGCTGTTGGCTCCGGTCCGCCCTGGCCCTGCCCGGTTCGCCCCGGGGCCCACCTGACTGCGATGGCGCCGCGTCCGCCAGGCCCGACTCATCACCGTGGCCGCCACCGGCCGCTCCGGTTTCGCCCGCCTCCAGCTCCGGCTCCGGCTCCGGCCCCGGCCCCCCCAGCGCCCGGCCCCGGCCCGGCCCCGCCGCCGCCGCCGCCGCCGCTGCTGACATCATCGGCTCCCCCCGCCCCGGTCCTACCCCCACCCCCACCCCCGGAAACAGTACCCCCCCAGCGCCGCCGCCGCCGCCGCCGCCGAGAGGAGGCTGGCGCAGCGCAGCAGGCACAGACACCAGGCTCCGGGCTCGGGCTCGGGGCGAGCGCGCCCGACGGCCTGCGCCCGGACCGATCCCGGGAAGGGAACGGCGCCACGCAGGGCGGCCGGACGGGTGGGCACCGAGCTAGGCGCGGGCCTGGCTGCAGCAGCAGCGGCGCGGGGCCGCACGACCACCCACTCCCTGGGAAGGGGTCCCCCCCCCCGCCCCCTGCACGCCCTTCACTCAGTGGTGCACACCGCCCAGAGCACGCACACCCTCGCCGCAGACACACAACGTGGCAGGCTCACAATCAGGCCCAATGGGACCCGCAGACCCAGGCTCAGCACACTCAAAGGGGCAGCCCTGGAGAAACACACACACACACACACACACACACACACACACACACACACACTCCCTCTCCAGAAATGCACAGGGACCCCCCCGACCCCCCAGGCCACGAGCTGGGAACGCCCCAGCCCTACAGAACAGGTACACGTAAATGGCTACCAGCGCAGATGAACACGCAGCTTGCTATTTTGTTCCCACCGGCAGAAACATCCACATGTATGTACTCTGTGTAAATGCAGAGGACTTGGTGTGGACCTCCTGGGACAGCACCAACACCACCAGGTGGAAGCACACAGAGGAGAAACACATTCCTGAAACTCCAGAGGGACAGTCCCAGAGACTCCTCCCAGGTGTTCAAAAATTCAAAACTCAGGAGAAAGAGGAGCTGGCCCTCAGAGGTCCTTTCCATAAAACCTTTCTGAAATCGGGCAAGACATAAATAAACAAATTAACTAAACACCGAAGATATCTCATCACAGAGGTAGTTGAAAAGAGGAAAAAAAGAATCAGACAGACTTTGGAGTCACAAAAATGTAAAGCAAGCAGAGTTGGAAACATTGAGAAAATCGGCCCACCCCCACCTCAGGGAGGTTCCAGGGAAGAACTCCGCCACCCCTCCAACCAGCTCACAATGGCTGGAGCTCTGAAGGGCCCAGGGCCCCTGAGCCAGGAGGAGAGGAGGAAGTCCAAGGGAAAGATGGTGAGTGTGGGGCGCAGGGGCGCACAGCCCCCTTCCCTGTAGCTCCTGGCTTCTCCCTTCCCCCTCCTTCTCTAAAACTTCCCAGCTTTCCTAGACACCCACAAGCAAAATTCATAATGGTGTTCCCAGATGTCCCTGGAACCTGTGACATCACACAGATACACAGCATCTGAGGCCGCCTCCCCTTCCTCAAACCAACAGAGCATCCCTGGGTCCTCTTCTTCTCCTCCCGGGAACAACTTACCCAGAGAAACACGATGCTCCAGGACTGCTCACTCCCTGCTTCCTGCTTTAGAGGCTCCAGACCCACACTGTACCACCTCATCCATCTTTCAGGCCCTTTCTAGCTCCCAAGAGTTCCTCGGCAAGACAGCCTGCCCTTCTACTGCCCTACAGGGTCCCAGAACCCAGCCTGGCATTCGCCCTACCCCCGGTCCCCTGGACTATGGCTGCCCTAATGCCCGCGCTCCTTTCTCCCTAACAGGCTGGCTGTCACCCCTACTTCAACCTGCCCGACTTCACCCAGCCATCACCGCCCTCCACTCCGTCCAGCCTCCCCTCGCACCAGCGCTGCCGGCCCTCTGATGTCACCAAGGGCCTGCTCGTGGCCCTGCTGGGTGGGGGCCTGCCCGCTGGCTTCGTGGGCCCTTCTTCCGTATGGCTTACCAGGCCTCCCACTTACCCTCGCTGGAGCTGCTCATCTGTCGATGCCTCTTCCACCTCCCTATTGCCCTGCTGCTGAAACTGCGTGGTGACCCCCTCTTGGGACCTCCCGATGTCCGGGGCCGGGCCTGCCTCCATGCCCTGTTCAACGTCCTCAGCATTGGATGCGCCTACAGTGCGGTTCAGGTGGTGCCCGCTGGCAATGATGCCACCGTCCACAAAGGTTCTTCCACCGTCTGCTCTGCTCTCCTTGCCCTCTGCCTCGAGAGCCAGCGTCTCAGTGGCTATGACTGGTGTGGCTTGTTGGGCAGCATCCTGGGGCTCATCATCATTGTGGGACCTGGACTAGGGACACTGCAGGAGGGGACCACAGGCCTCTACACTGACCTGGGCTATGTGCTCACTTTCCTGGGTGGCCTGGCACTGTCGCTGGGCCTCCTGGTGTACCGCTCCCTGGACTTCCCCTCCTGCCTACTGACAGTGGCCTTCCTCTTTGGCTTGGTGGGGCTGGTGGGCTCCGTGCCAGGCCTCTTTCTGCTGCAGATCCCCGTGTTGCCTAATGATCCTCTGAGTTGGAGCTGTGTGGGGGCAGTGGGGATCCTCGCCCTGGTCTCCTTTGTGTGTGTCAGTTATGCGGTCACCAAGGCCCACCCTGCCCTGGTGTGTGTCGTCCTGCACTCTGAGGTGGTGGTGGCTCTGATGTTACAGTATTATGTGCTCTATGAGACCGTGGCACCTTCTGACATCATGGGGGCAGGGGTCATGTTGGGTAGCATTGCCAACATCACCACCCAGAACCTCAGCTGTGAGAGGGAAGGGCAGGTGGAGTGAGATCGAACTTGAGAGCCTGGGGGTGGGGTGGGGGGGGACTGGGTAAACAGAAGGAAAAACTGGAATACAAACATGGGAGAACAAGTGACTATAAAAGAACTGGTGTGGGAGAGTGACACCCCTTGGAGTCAATGGTGGATTGGGGACTCAGTGGAGAGGGATTGCCTAGAAGACTGCCTGGAAGACCTGGAACAAGCCTGGAGAGCAGGCTTGGAACAAGCCTGGAGAGCAGGAGTCTACGGCTGGGGCTTGAAGGGAGGTCTGAGGAGCAGATCAAAGTGGCTGAGGCAGGCAGGCCATGAGCCACCGGGAGGATTTTTCCCTCAGCGGCAGAGAGAAAAGCCTTGGGGCTGGAGTGTCTGGGGCTTTCAGGCAAACAGAGCAAGCAGCTGCGGTGGGGGAAGGGAGTGTGTTTTTTTTTCTCTGAGCGATGGTTTCCCTTCCTCGTGGTTATGCCTCCCCACCTTGGGGTGGTGACGTGATATTGACATCAAACAAGGATCACTCTGAATGTGGCTGTGCAGTTGGTGTCATCTCTGCTTTGGAAGGACAGTGGAAGTCCTACCCCCTGCTCTTATTGGAGAATCCCTTGGGATCCCCGCACCACCACCCCCGCCCCATTTTTGAAATATTCTAGAAGGGGTAGGATTTCCTAATGTTCAGATGCATTGACCCTGAGTCCCCCAGGATTTTTGTGTCCCACCCAATGGCTAATCTGCTTTTCCTGGATTGTCGCGGTCCCGTGATCTCTCCCGGACAGTGGCCAGCGTCCTTCCGGAGAAGGCCTTTGAGCTGAGACCTCTTCGAGCGGCTCAGGTCGAGGATCCAGAACGAGAGCTCCGTACAGCGCCCCATTAGAGGCTAGGAGATGCCCAGCCGTCCCAGGAGGCCGCTCGACAGATATCAGCTACTTCCGGACAAGCAATTGGCCTCGCCATGTTGATCCTTTCTTGCATATTCAGCGCGATTACTGCATATTCATGACCAAGGACGGCCCCAATACTCCCCCTCTTCGGGAACCCACTTGGGAGGATCCGACCGGCCCCGCCTCCTTCATTACCGAATCTCAGAACAGACCATTTTCCAGCGTGGGGGGGGTGATATTAATGAGATACTTTGGCTGAAGATGAAACCACACGCCAAACTAGAATAAAAGCGGCCTATATTTACCCTCGAATCTTCAAACCTTAAACCTCAGGGGGGGAGGTAGTAGCGAGGGGAGGCGGCGGGATAAAAAAATGCCCTTCCCCTTCGTCATTTCAAAAGGTGACCCAGCCAGGGAGCCGGGGAGGGAGGAACAACGACGCGAGCGCGCGCCCCGTGCACGCCGGCGCAGTCGACCCCGTAGCGCAAGGGAGGGCGGGAAAGGAAGGGGCGGGGGAATGCCAGGGCGAATCTATAAAGGGCGTCATCCGGCCAGCTCGCTCCTCAGAAGCGCCGAGAGCGCGGCCGGGACGGTTGGAGAAGAAGGCGGCTCCCGGAAGGGGGAGAGACAAACTGCCGTAACCTCTGCCGTTCAGGAGCCCGGTTACTTATTTATTCGTTACCCTTTTTCTTCTTCCTCCCCCAGAACCTTTTCCTTTCCCTTCCTCTTTTTATTTTCTTTTTGGGAGACGAAAAATCTCCGGAAAGGCGGAGGAGAGCTCCTTTCGCCCCTTTTCGTTTCCCCGCCTCCTTTCCTCCCCCACCTTTTCCTCCTCCGGCTTTTTCCTCCCAACTCGGGGAGGTCCTTCCCGGCGGCCGCCCCGACAGGGTCTGAGCGCCTAGGTGCAGGCGGCGCAGGCTTTTTGTAGTGAGGTTTGCGCCTGCGCAGCGCGCCTGCCTCCGCGATGCATGGGGGTGGCCCCCCCTCCGGGGACAGCGCATGCCCGCTGCGCACCATCAAGAGAGTGCAGTTCGGAGTCCTCAGTCCGGATGAACTGGTAAGCGGCTCTGCCCTCTCACTCCTCCTCCCGCCCGCGTGGCGGGCGGGGCTTGAAGGCCGCCGCGGAAACTTGGCGCTTTTCCCTGCCCAAAGGAGGACAGGCGGGGAGGATGGGTCAGCGGCGCCAAGGCAGTGCAGAGTCCAGCCTCGCGGCCAACGAGAATTAAATTTTCCTAGGGGGTCAGCAAGCTTAGCTCTGTGTCCGAGCTGGGGGCCGGGCCGCAGGAGGGGCTGGAGGGTGAGAAGGAGGGCGAGAAGGTTGCTTGGCTCCACACCGCAGATACCGACGTTAAGAGATACTACACCAATCCTTTGGGTGAGAAGCCGAGCCCCAGATTTTTTCCCCTCCCCCTCTACAGTTATTAACTGAGCACCTGCTACGTGATAGACGTGACAGACGGTGGGGATGCAGAGCTGAAAAAGACAAAGACCCTGCCTTCTAGAGCACTTTCTTTGGGAAGGGGCAGGGGAGACAGACAATAAACACGAATAAATGAATGAACAAGATAATTCAGTTAAGGGCAAGTGCCTTGCATGAAGTGAAATGGTGTAATGCGATGGAGAGTGACCGAGGTGAGGCTGCTTTAGATGGGGTGGTGTCAGGGTATGGGAAGGCCTGTTTGAGGAGGTGACATTACTCGAATGATGAGAAGCAGCCAGTCTCCTAGGCCATAGATTCTAGGTCAGTAGCTTTTCAGGCAGAGGAAAGAGCAAGTGCAAAGTGCCGGAACGAGGGAATAACTTGGTGTGCCTCGGGGGCTGAAAGGTGGCCAGGGTGGCTGGGGTGTAGTGGGTGAGAAGGAGAGTATTAAACCATTCTTGGAGAAGCATGAGGTGGGGCAGTCCAGGTGGGACGTTATAAATCGTGGTAAGGAATCTGGATTTCATTCTATTTTCAGTAGGAAGTCATTGGAGAATTATAAGCAGGAGAGTGATATCAAGTTTACATTTAAAAAAAAAATTACTGCTTTGATGGTCCTGTGAAGAACTGACTGGGGAAGAGAACTGAGAATGGAAGCAGGAAAGATGAGGGAGGAGGGAGAGCTGTTGGCCCTTTGGTGGACGCCTTTGTGGAGCAAACTGGAGGAAGCCAGTGGGCTGGAGAGAATGGAATTGAATGGCTCTGTTTGTGGATGGAGACAAGTTTGCTAGAGGAGGAGGCTCAGCTGTAGGAAACTTGTGTCAGGAGTTAGAACCTCCCGAACTCAGACCACACCGAATAAATTCCAGATGGGGTTGAGGTTGAAATCTAAAAAACAAAACTGTAAAACACTTGAAAAATGCAGAAGGCTTTTGGAGGCTGATACCAGGGGCAGAAACCCTTAACCTTCTCTAACCCAAGTCTTGATTTTACTTCATAGCTGGTCAGTACCTGAAAGGATTAGTTTTTCTCTTTCTTGTTTCCTCAGTAGAATGTAAATTTCACGAGTGACTTTGTATTCACTTCTTTCTCCAGCATCTCAAATAGTGCCTGGCACATAATAGGCATGTACTAAAAGTTACTTGAATAAATGAGTGAACGAAATAATTGTACAGGTACATAAAGATACATGTAGAAGGATTTTTATTTCAACATTGTGTGAAATTATAAATCACCTAATTATTTATTAGTAAGGATTCTATTGAATAACTCAGGGTTTATTACAATAGAACAAGACCTTCCCAGTAGGTTAAACCCCCTGATCCCCTGTGCCCAAACTGCTGAGGCACCGCAGCAAACTCACAGGGGCCCAATGAGAGGTTTTAAATTTTTAAGAGAAGCACAGAAGCACAGCTGCGTTTGCCTGATGCCCTGGGAACTACTAGGTTGGGCAGTTCCCTTTCAGCATTAGGTGGCGCCAGAGCCCTTTTGATGACGTCATATCTTTGTGAAGCTGGGTTTTTAGCAGTTGCTAAATACTGGGCAAAAATCAGTGTAGAGCAAGAGATAAGAGTGGTGCTGGGGTGTGGATAAGGCCAAGAAGAGTTAGAGAATACTTTATAAAGAGGTGACATTTGAACTGGGTCTTAAAAATGAATAGAAGTTTGCTGGAAAGGCAGGCATGGGAAGAAAAGGAATTTTGAGGAATCTCTTGTGGTTGGAGCATAAATGTTGAGGACGGGGGACCTTGGGTGTCTAACCTGTTATCACGTGGGCAGTGAGAACCAGTGTTTGGATGAAGGATTGGGGGCTAAAGTAGTTTGTGTATAATTCAAAGTATAACTTATGGTAGAGGGTTAGTCCAGAACATTCCAGGACAGCCCCTGGTCCAGCCTCAGTGCCCGGAAGCAGAGAGAGTCCTTAGAAGGTGGCTGGCTTGGTGAGCATGGACTTGGAGCAGAGAGAAGTGAAATGCTTTGGGTGTTGTTCTCCTTAGGCCTCTCTCTAGTGACTCTTCTGGCTGCCAGATTCAGGTCTGCGCCTGCTCTTGTGTGTTTCATTCAAGGTGAGCAAACCCCCTCTTTGTGCGTCTCATCAGACACGATGCAGCTGATGGGGCTCCAGCTTTGTGAATTTAGTCACCACAGGCCTGTCTCCCTGAGATTTCATCAGGTCATCTTGACGATCGTGGTGGAAGTTCAGAACCTCTTAGCCTTGCACCTGTAGACCATTTTGGTTTCTACCCAGCAGTGACTAATTAGATCCATTATGAGACGATTATTGGTTTGACTGTAAGGGAACAACCTTCTATCTCTTTTCAAGTTCTTTTTTTTTCTTTTTATCGAGGTCTTCGAGGGCACTTCCCTGCAGTGGAGGGTCCTAAGGCAGTTTAGTTCAGTCTAACAAACAATTATTGAGAGCCATCAGGTCCAGGGTGATAGGGGAATGCTACCTGCCTGAGAGATGCTTATAATCTATGGGGAAGACAAACCCCAGTGGGTCATTTCATTGCATTATGAGATTTGCAGTGATGGAGGGATTATGGAAGCACAGAGTGGGGCTCACCAGTCTGGCTAGTGAGGCTGTGGAAAGGCTTCTTGGAAGAAGCAGTGCCTGAGCTGAGTCTTCAGATAGCAGTTTGTCTTGTGGGGAGGGCATCCCAAGCAGAGATACAAAGACCCCATGTACAAAGACCCCAAGTAGTGGAGCACATATGCTGGGTGATAGGGGGGCTGCTGGGGAGTCAGCTACTGATGTGGAGGAAGAAAGGAAGGTGGAAACGTCATAAAACTCTTTGTAAGCCATCCTGCTGAATTTGGATATCATTCTGAAACAACAGGGTATGAAGATTAGATTTCCAAATTAGAAAGAGCACCCTGATCATAGTATGGATGGGTAGGAGAGAAGGGCTGGTGACCCATGGAACGCTTGGATACATACTACAAAGGACAGGCTTGAGCTAGGGCAGTGGGCGTAGGGATGGAGAAAAGGGGCAAGATTCAAGAACTGTTTGTTCAGGAGGTAAAATAACCTGTACATGGGCTTCCCTGGTGGTGCAGTGGTTGGGGGTCCGCCTGCCGATGCAGGGGACGCAGGCTCGTGCCCCGGTCCGGGAGGATCCCACATGCCGTGGAGCGGCTGGGCCCCGTGAGCCATGGCCGCTGAGCCTGCGCGTCCGGAGCCTGTGCTCCGCAACGGGAGAGGCCACAACAGGCCCGCGTACCGCAAAAAATAAAAAATAATCTGTATTTGGTGAATGATTGGATAATAACAGCTGTCATATATTGAACACCTATTCCATCTTGGGTTTCAGCAGGTTAATTAAATCCTTAATGGTTATATAGATAATAAGTGATAGAGCTAGAATTGCAAATTAGAGGTCTCTGACTCCAGGCCATGCTTGTTCCACTGCTTTATGACTGTGGGTAAGGAAGGGTAAGTGTTGGTTTCTGACTTGAGTTCCACTACCTTAGATGGGGACTAAAGGAAAAGGAGAGATTTTTGTGGAGAAGGGAGTTTGCTTTTAGACATGTTGGATTTGACTTATCAGGGGGATATCTACAGGGGGTTCAGTAGGTGGTTCAGTATGTTAATCCGAAGTCCAGAAGAAAGGTGAGGCCTGGAGGGTAGAGATTTGTTGTGAGTAAATAGTGAGAATCATGGCATAACATTTGGGTGTGATGAGAAGTGTGGATGCGCTAAAACCTTGGGGAGTGGCAGTGTTTAAGGAACAGACCAAGGCACCCCTTCCCCTTTGGAGCCGTAAGTTTGTTTTCTCTGTCTGTGAGTCTGTTCTGTTTTGTAAATAAGTTCATTTGTATCATGTTTTAGATTCCACATGTAAGTGATGTCATATGATACTTGTCTTTGACTTCACTTAGCATCATAATCTCTAGGTTCATCCATGTTGCTGCAAATGGCATTATTTCGCTCTATTTTGTGGCTGAGTGGTATTCTGTTGTATATATGTACCACATCTTCTTTATCCATTCATCTGTCAATGGGCATTTAGGTTGCTTCCATGTCTTGGCTATTGTAAATAGTGCTGCTTCAAATCCTAGAGTTGAAGTAATTGGTTCTGCTGCAGTATAGTAGAATGGGATGAGCATGTGTTTGGGATCGCAGCGGGGTGGGTATGACGTCTGCAGGCTCCTTGAGATTGAGGCCTTGGGCAGTCACTTTACACAGCCTCAGGTTTCTCATGTCTAAGAGACAGGAATTCACTCCTAGACGGTTAGTGGTTAGGGTAAGAGAAACAAGGTACATTAGGTACGTTTGGTACCTGGCATGAAGTTGACACTCAGAAGCTTTTATTAAATTCTTCTAAGGTCTTCCCTCTGGAAGTTTAGCAGACCAAAGCTTAGCTAATTTTAAAGTTCTTGGTTTTCAGTGTGTGAAAAGATGCCAAAGGTTTCCTTGAACAGCCTTTAGCTCAGAGCAGAAATCTCTTCTCCAAGTTGTACCTACTTCTGAGCCCGTCCTTGCCTCCCTTTCCTCCACTGAATTGGTCCCACTGAGTCCTGGCTCCACTTTGCCCAGGATTCCGGCCCTTGGCTCTGCCTCCATCTCTTGAGGCTCCAGGGTTCACTTCTGCTCCAGATAATTTTCAACAACCTCTGCTCTAGCACCCCCCTTTCCTGTTCTATCCTAAAATATCTGAACATGGAAGGGTTCAGGTTGACCCAGGCCCTTGAGAAGGAGGAGGTGACAAGGATGGGGGCAAAGAGTGCCTAACTTTAGGAGCATGTCTTGGGCAGAGCACTTGGGCTGTCATGATGAGGGTGCCTTACAGGGAGGTTCTGGCCTTGATTTCAGCTTTGGGAAAGAAACAAGGCATTGAATTTTCCCCTCTTGAAACAACTTTTATTTCTTTTGCTGTTAAATTCTGTAGATGACAGTGACCTAGAATTCAACCCAGTAGGATATCCAGGGTTCAAGTCCTAGAGGTAGGTGACGTGTACGGAGCCCAGAGTTGACCACACACTAGTCTGAGCGCCCCCTCCCGCTCAGACAGTGACTGGAACGAGCTTTTGACTTGCGATACTTGACTTTGGCATTTCCACAGTCAGATATCACACACGCTGACCCCCATTTCCCTTGCTTCAGGCTAAACCTGCTTAGTTCTTCTGTAAGTAGTTTGGGGTTTTTTAAGGCCTTAGTACAGAGCTCAGCCACGAAGTCTGGAAACTAGGAATTCTATTTAGTTGTTATTGGCCTTTCTTTGCTGCAGAAACGAATGTCTGTGACAGAGGGCGGCATCAAATACCCAGAGACCACCGAGGGAGGCCGCCCCAAGCTTGGGGGGCTGATGGATCCGAGGCAGGGGGTGATTGAGAGGACTGGCCGCTGCCAAACCTGTGCAGGTGAGCGCTGGGGGCCGGCACAGGACCCTAGAGGGAGGGAGAGGCTTGTCCTTACTGAAAGCCAGGACTGGGGGTGGACACCTGCAAACCTGGTCTCTGAGGTGAGTGCTGGGAGGAAAGTGTTGTATGTGTGTTCCCACAGGAAACATGACAGAGTGTCCTGGCCACTTTGGCCACATTGAGCTGGCCAAACCTGTGTTCCATGTCGGCTTCCTGGTCAAGACAATGAAAGTTTTGCGCTGCGTCTGCTTCTTCTGCTCCAAATTGCTTGTGGACTCTGTGAGTGGGAGATGGGCTCTGGCCTGGGGAAGGGGTTGCTGGGGGGTGGGCAGGGGAGCAGCCCCAACTGACCACGCTCTGCTCTGTCCACAGAACAACCCAAAGATCAAGGACATTTTGGCTAAGTCCAAGGGGCAGCCCAAGAAGCGGCTCACACATGTCTATGACCTCTGCAAGGGCAAAAACATCTGCGAGGGCGGGGAGGAGATGGACAACAAGTTCGGTGTGGAGCAGCCTGAGGGCGATGAGGATTTGACCAAAGAAAAGGTAGCCGGGGCTGCCCAGACTCTTGGGAGGGGGTGAGGGCTGGTCCCAGAGGCCCGGAGGGAAGAAGATGGGGAGGCAGTGGGAGCAGCAGGAGCCCGAAGGTCACAGAAGAGCGGGAGGGGTGGCCCGGCCAGGTGTTGGGGGAGAAGGCCCGGCCTCTGCGCTCTGATGGCCCCTCTGTCTCCTTGGAAGGGCCACGGCGGCTGTGGGCGGTACCAGCCCCGGATCCGGCGCTCCGGCCTGGAGCTGTACGCAGAGTGGAAGCACGTCAACGAGGACTCTCAGGAGAAGAAGATCCTGCTCAGTCCTGAGCGGGTGCACGAGATCTTCAAACGCATCTCAGATGAGGAGTGCTTCGTCCTGGGCATGGAGCCTCGCTACGCCCGGCCCGAGTGGATGATTGTCACTGTGCTGCCCGTGCCCCCGCTCTCCGTGCGGCCTGCTGTTGTGATGCAGGGCTCTGCCCGCAACCAGGTCAGTGCCTGCAGGGCCCTGCCACTCAGCTAGGCCAGGTGTCCGCGCGGAGGGAGGCCGGTGGCGGGGATGAAGGCATGCGAGGGTGACGGACGGGTCACCTGGGCCTGAAGATACCCTGCCGCTTGCTGGCTGTGTGAGCCCCTTAAGGAGGTTAGAGCTCACAAAGGTGCTTCTGGATCTGTGAACCGAGAGCCCAGAGCTGCCTCCCAGGGAGGTGTGAAGGGAGGGTGAGAGGCACCGCGTGCTGGCACATGCAGACTGAGCACTCAGGGTTGGCTGGATTGTGATGCTTCTGACTTCCTGCCTCAGGATGACCTGACACACAAACTGGCCGACATCGTGAAGATCAACAATCAGCTTCGGCGCAACGAGCAGAACGGCGCGGCCGCGCATGTCATCGCTGAGGACGTGAAGCTCCTCCAGTTCCACGTGGCCACCATGGTGGACAATGAGCTGCCTGGCTTGCCTCGTGTGAGTGGACAGGCTCCCTGTGCCCTGCGCCTGGAGGAAAGGGGAGGGCGCCCGGCTGGGGCCCGGTGCTGACTGCTGGGGTGCCCCCCACCCTGCGTTTCCTCACAGGCCATGCAGAAGTCTGGGCGTCCCCTCAAGTCCCTGAAGCAGCGGTTGAAGGGCAAGGAAGGCCGTGTGCGCGGGAACCTGATGGGCAAGCGGGTGGACTTCTCGGCCCGCACCGTCATCACCCCCGACCCCAACCTCTCCATTGACCAGGTTGGCGTGCCTCGCTCCATTGCTGCCAATATGACCTTTGCGGAGATCGTCACCCCCTTCAACATTGACAGGTGTGCTCAGTTCAGAAGCCCTGCCTGGAGGGGTCGGGGAGGGTGGGGGGAATGGGCTCGGAGCAAGAAGGAGAGAGTGTTTAATTTTATTATTATTATCATTATGTTTTTTTAACTTTATCTTTGGCTGTGTTGGGTCTTCGTTGCTGCATGCAGGCTTTCTCTAGTTGCGACGAGCAGGGGCTTCTCTTCGTTGTGGCGCGCGGGCTTCTCATTGCGGTGGCTCCTCTTGTTGCGGGAGCACGGGCTCTGGGTGTGCGGGCTTTCTCTAGTTGCAGCATGCAGGCTCAGTAGTTGCGGTACACGGGCCCTAGAGCACATGGGCTTCAGTAGTTGTGGCACACGGGCTCTAGGGCACACGGGCTCAGTAGTTGTGGCGCACAGGCCTAGTTGCTTCGCGGCATGTGGGATCTTCCCAGACCAGGGATCAAACCCATGTCCCCTGCATTGGCAGGCGGATTCTTAACCACTGTACCACCAGGGAAGTCCCAAGTGTCGAAGTTTAGAAGTTTGGGTTCTCATTTGGGGCTTTGGGGTGAGGGTGGCAACAAGGGCTTTTTGGGAAGCATTTTGTTCATTGCATCCCTTTCCTTCCTAGACTTCAGGAACTAGTGCGCAGGGGGAACAGCCAGTACCCAGGGGCCAAGTACATCATCCGGGACAACGGTGATCGCATTGACCTGCGTTTCCACCCCAAACCCAGTGACCTTCACCTGCAGACTGGCTATAAGGCATGTGTAATAGGCCAGGGCCTCTCTTACCTGAGCAGGAAGCTTTTTGGACTGGGGGCTAGCTGGAGTGGGCCGTCTGAGGCTGTCCTGTTCATTAGAATCCAAGCTTAAGAGACTCCTGCTGTCCTAGGCAAGCCTGTAGCTGCCAGCCCCTGGCATTCAAGGTGGGGGTCACGTAAACCCACGGGCAGCAAGAGGGACACAGGGCAGAAAGAGATCCGGGGGGGAACAGAGCAGAAGGCTTCATGTTCAGAGTCTCTCGCGGTTTTCTTTCCCAGCTGAGTTCCCTGAGGTTTGGGGACTACGTCTTCGTTTTCTCTGATAGCCTGGAATCTAGCCCGGGGCCTGGCCCAAAGCTGGTGGTTGATAAGCGTTTCAAGTGAAATAACACCACAGTGTCGTCTGTTTCAAAGCATCTTAGGTCCCCTATCACTTCATTCTTAGCATACCTCCTTCACTGAGGTTTTTCCCACACCTCACCTCCTTAGGTGGAACGGCACATGTGCGATGGGGACATTGTTATCTTCAACCGGCAGCCAACTTTGCACAAAATGTCCATGATGGGACATCGGGTTCGCATCCTGCCCTGGTCTACTTTTCGCTTGAATCTTAGGTCAGTCCTCTGGCTGGGGCTGGGCTGGGCTGCTCCCTGGGTCTCACTGTGGCATCTTTCCAACTCACTTCCCTCTTTGACTACAGTGTGACAACTCCATACAATGCCGATTTTGATGGGGATGAGATGAACTTGCACCTGCCACAGTCCCTGGAGACGCGGGCTGAGATCCAGGAGCTCGCCATGGTGCCACGCATGATTGTCACCCCCCAGAGCAATCGCCCAGTTATGGGCATTGTGCAGGACACGCTGACCGCAGTGCGCAAATTCACCAAGAGGGACGTTTTCCTGGAGCGGGTGTGTGGTCCCTGGCTGGAGGAAACCTGGCCTGGGCGGGCAGGGGCCCAGCACAGCAAGGATGGGGGGAGGATCAGTGACTTATGCCCTGATTTGCTCTGCACTGACCTGTATGTGAGACAGCAGAAGGAAAGGGAGTGAGCAAAGATCGAGGCCAAAAACGGTGTATGGCTTTAGCTCCCCATTTAATTCCTCAAAATGTCATGTAATTTTAGGTATCACCTGGAAAGTAAAGGTGAAGAGAGAAATAAGACTTTGTTGAAGTTCTGTTTATCTATTTCTTTTTTACTTTCTCTTTGTTTCCTAATTATTAAAAGTAATTTGTACTTACTGTTTAAAGAAAAAACAATCCCAAAGTCTCACTATCACAGTTAAGTTTTTAGTAAAAGTTTGGAAAACACTTTTCTTGCCATCACTTGGCCTTCAAAGTCTGGCTTTCCCCTTGGGGCAGTGAGGCCTCCCCTGACATTCCCAAGAGGTGAGACCTCCAGTTCTGACTTCTTGTCTTTCTTGCTCTTTTTCTCCAGGGGGAGGTGATGAACCTCCTGATGTTCCTGTCCACGTGGGACGGCAAGGTCCCACAGCCAGCCATCTTGAAGCCCCGGCCCCTGTGGACAGGGAAGCAGATCTTCTCCCTCATCATACCCGGCCACATCAACTGTATCCGCACCCACAGCACCCATCCCGATGATGAGGACAGTGGCCCTTACAAGCACATCTCTCCTGGGGACACCAAGGTAGGGCCTGGCTTCTGGTTGTGTGGGGAAGGGCTTTGGACATGGAAGCCACAGCAGGGGCTGTGAATGGTGCTCTCTGCAGGTGGTGGTGGAGAACGGGGAGCTGATCATGGGCATCCTGTGTAAGAAGTCTTTGGGCACATCAGCTGGCTCCCTGGTCCACATCTCTTACCTAGAGATGGGTCATGACATCACCCGCCTCTTCTACTCCAACATTCAGACTGTCATTAATAACTGGCTCCTCATTGAGGGTAAGCCTAGGGGCTCTACCACATCCTCTGTAAATCCTGTGGCCATCTCACTTCTTACTGCTCTTTTCCATCCCTTTCTCTTCCCCCCCTTGGATTTGGTGTCCCTCTATCTACTCTCTTGGCTGTGATTCCATCCCATGTTTCTTGGGAGTCCAAAGAAGGTGTTGCTGATGCTTCTCTTTATTTCTAGGTCATACCATTGGCATTGGGGACTCCATTGCTGATTCTAAGACTTACCAAGACATTCAGAACACTATTAAGAAGGCCAAGCAGGATGTAATAGAGGTGAGAGGGAAGGCTGGGCAAAGACTGAGTGAGAGCTTCTCAGTGGCTTTGAACTGAGGAGTGAAGGGGACATTGGGATTGGAGAGACGGGGACCAGAAGACACTGACGTCTCCCTGAGAACGCAGCCTGCTCCTGTGCACCCAGGTCATCGAGAAGGCGCATAACAACGAGCTGGAGCCCACCCCGGGGAACACTCTGCGGCAGACCTTTGAGAACCAGGTGAACCGCATTCTCAACGACGCCCGAGACAAGACTGGCTCCTCTGCCCAGAAATCCCTGTCTGAATACAACAACTTTAAGTCAATGGTGGTGTCCGGGGCTAAGGGTTCCAAGATCAACATCTCCCAGGTGGGGAGCCTTGTCTTTCCAGAACTGGGGCCACACTGAAGGTGGGGAGGAGGAGGGAAGGGGTGTGCTGCTGGGGGGGGGGTTGGGGGAAAAGTATGGGGAACTCCTATTCTCAAGGCAGAGGGAGTTGGATGCACCCCACCTTTTCTGTTCCCCAGGTCATTGCTGTCGTCGGGCAGCAGAACGTGGAGGGCAAGCGGATCCCGTTTGGGTTCAAGCACCGGACTCTGCCTCACTTCATCAAAGATGACTATGGGCCTGAGAGCCGTGGCTTTGTGGAGAACTCCTACCTGGCCGGCCTCACGCCCACCGAGTTCTTCTTCCATGCCATGGGGGGTCGTGAGGGGCTCATCGACACAGCTGTCAAGACTGCTGAGACTGGTGAGGACTTTGGATCCAGGGCCCTTCCACGGGCTGGTCCCAGAGAGGACTGCAGGCAGAGAAGCCCCTGGGGAGTTTGAGCGGGGTTCTCAGGCTAAAGTCTTCTATCCTCAGAGAAGTAATTTTGACCTTTGTGGAAAGAATAGAGCCTAAAGGTCAAGAGTTAGGCAAACACTCTTGTTCTGGTTGTCGTGCAGCATTCCATGATGCAGGGCTAGAGCCTCAGGGTCTCTACTCCTGACCTATCACATAGACGGTGTTTCCTAGGGGTCTGTACTGGACCCTGGGTCTGTCTGGTGGTGGGCATGGCTTTCATTGAGAGGCCTTGGGGATGAGAGGCTACTAGCTGGCTCTCCTGAGGACCAGAGTGGCCAGCAGGTCTTGTCCTGAGACAGGGAGGCTCCTCTTCTTGCTCTGGGCCCCTCAGTTGACTCCCTCCCCCTCAGGGTACATCCAGCGGCGGCTGATCAAATCCATGGAGTCGGTGATGGTGAAGTATGACGCCACCGTGCGGAACTCCATCAATCAGGTGGTACAGCTGCGCTATGGGGAAGACGGCCTGGCGGGCGAGAGCGTTGAGTTCCAGAACCTGGCTACCCTCAAGCCTTCCAACAAGGCTTTCGAGAAGAAGTGAGAAGGCGGCAGGCGGGTGGTTCTTGCCCCTGGGCTCAGGGCCAGAGTAGTAGGGGTTCTCCTCCCCCCACACGGTGAGATCATCTGGACCGTGTCTTGCAGTGGACCTTATACCGCCCCTTCCCCACCCATCTGGCAGCAGCTGCAAGATGGGAGAGGACGGATGGAGACCAGAGTTGAGACCCGCCCCCACTTTGTACAGAGGGGTGAGCGTAAGCTCAGGCGCCATTGCACGTCCTTGGGTCTGGATCTTATGTTTCCCCACCAAGGATTATTCACAGCCCTGTTCCTGTGGGCTGCAGACCTCAGGAGCCTCACACTGTTCCTTGATCAGGGCCCTCCTGCCCCTTGACTCCACCCCTGTCACCTGCAGGTTCCGCTTTGATTATACCAATGAGAGGGCCCTGCGGCGCACCCTGCAGGAGGATGTGGTGAAGGACGTGCTGAGCAACGCACACATTCAGAATGAGCTGGAGCGAGAATTTGAGCGGATGCGTGAGGACAGGGAGGTGCTCAGGGTCATCTTCCCAACTGGTGACAGCAAGGTGTGTGTGGGTGGGAAGGGCTGGGCTGGAGAGGTGCTGGCCCTGCATGGCTGGCCCTGACTTGGGGTCCTGCCTCCTTCCCTCCTGCCTCAGGTTGTCCTCCCCTGTAACCTGCTGCGCATGATCTGGAACGCTCAGAAGATCTTCCACATCAACCCTCGCCTTCCCTCTGACCTGCACCCCATCAAGGTGGTAGAGGGTGAGTACCTGCTTCAGGACCGCCAGGCCAGGCAGGCTCTGCTAGCAGCGTCCTGGTCTACAACCTCTTCATCCCTCGTTTGGCCCTTAGGTGTCAAGGAGCTGAGCAAGAAGCTGGTGATTGTGAATGGGGACGACCCACTGAGCCGGCAGGCCCAGGAGAACGCCACCCTGCTCTTCAACATCCACCTGCGGTCCACGCTGTGCTCCCGCCGCATGGCCGAGGAGTTTCGGCTCAGCGGAGAGGCCTTCGACTGGCTGCTCGGAGAGATCGAGTCCAAGTTCAACCAAGCCATTGTGAGTGTTGTACTCCTCACCCCAGCCTTGGTTCTCTTCTCTGATCTATTGATTTCTCTGGGCTCTGAGAACAGCCCACCTCTGCCCATAACTGCATAATAATAGACCTCATTCATTGAGACGCTGCTGTGAACCAAGTCCTGTGTTGAAGGCTTTATACCTTTATTCCTCAGCAGTCCTAAGAAGACCCTAGTAGCGGGGAGGGGCTGTTAGTCCCATGTTGCAGAGACAAAAAGTGAACTTTGAAGAGGCAAACACATGAAAAGATGCTCAATATCAGTAGCCGTCAGGGGAATGTAGTTCAAAACCACGATGAGATACCACTGCATGCTCCCTAGGGTGACTAGAAAAAAACAAGTGTTGGCGAGGATATAGAGAAATTGGAGCTCTCATACACTGCTGGTGGGAATGTTGCAACTGCTTTGGAAAACAGTCTGGCAGGTTCTCAAAAGTTTAAACATAGAGTTACCATATGACCCAGCAATTTCACTCCTAGGAATACGCCCAAGAGAATTGGAAGCACACGTCCACACAAAAACCCATACACAGATGTTCGGAGCAGTATTTTTCATAATAGCCAAGCAGTGGAAGCAACTGAAATGTTCATCCGTTGATGAAGGATGAACAAGATAAGGGAATATTATGCTGTGGTAAAAAATAATGAGCTGTCAAGCCATAAAAAGACAGTGATCAACTTTAAATAGTATTACTAAGAAGTCAGTCTGAAAAGGCTACATACTGTATGATTCCAATTAAAAGATTAAATTTTGGGGACTTCCATGGCGGTCCAGTGGTTAAGACTTCGCACTTCCACTGCACGGGGTGTGGGTTCGATCCCTGGTCAGGAGCTAAGATCCTACATGCCTTGTGGCCAGAAAACCAAAATGTAAAACAAAAGCAATATTGTAACAAATTCAATAAAGACTTTAAAAATGGTCCATGTCAAAAAAAAATCTTTAAAAAAAAAAGATTAAATTTTATGGTATGTGATTATATCTCAATTAAAATAATGCATTGCGGGGGACTTCGCTGGTGGCTCAGTTGTTAAGAATCCGGCTGCCAACGCAGGGGTCACGGGTGCGAGCTCTGGTGCAGGAAGATCCCACATGGCACAGAGCAACTAAGCCCGTGCGCCACAACCACTGAAGCCCGCGCACCTAGAGCCCGTGCTCCGCAACGAGAGAAGCCACCGCAGTGAGAAGCCCGTGCACCGCAACGAAGAGTTGCCCCCGCTCACTGCAACTAGAGAAAGCCCACGTGCAGCAACGAAGACCCAACGCAGCCAAAGATAAATACTTTAAAAAAATTTATAAAAAAAAAATGCATTGGGGAGCTTCCCACTTAGGAGACTATCATCAAATGAATATCTACGCTGTGACTTCAGCACACAGCACTTGTAGAAATGTGGGGTTTAGATGACATAGTCCCTGTTCCTGGGTGTGCAGCACATCTGGGGCTGAATGGCGGGTGTAAATTGAAATGCCGTCTGAGGAAGGGGGTGATCAGATAAGACTGATTTGTTTAAATCTCTGCCTTTTCCAAACACCTCTGCCCAGCCCTGACATTTCTCACCCTCACTCACCAGTGGGGAGGGATTTGCTCTTCTGAGGCCAGCTCTTCTTACTCCCCAGGCCCATCCTGGGGAAATGGTGGGAGCTCTGGCTGCACAGTCCCTTGGAGAACCTGCCACCCAGATGACTCTGAACACCTTCCACTATGCTGGTGTGTCCGCCAAGAATGTGACACTGGGTGTGCCCCGACTTAAGGAGCTCATCAACATTTCCAAGAAGCCAAAGACCCCCTCACTTACTGTCTTCCTGCTGGGCCAGTCTGCTCGAGATGCTGAGAGAGCCAAGGTGCGGCTTAGGGTAACGGGCTTCGTGGCAGGAGGAGGAGGGGACTCCTTCCCTTAAGTAAAGCGTTTGGCAGTCCCTCTGCAGGTGGCTTTGAAGAGGCCTTTGGAGCCACCCAAATGCCTGTCACGAATCCCTTTTTTTCCCCAGGATATTCTGTGCCGCCTGGAACATACAACGCTGAGGAAGGTGACGGCCAACACGGCCATCTACTATGACCCTAACCCCCAGAGCACGGTGGTGGCAGAGGATCAGGAGTGGGTGAACGTCTACTATGAGATGCCTGACTTTGATGTGGCCCGAATCTCCCCCTGGCTTTTGCGGGTGGAGCTGGACCGGAAGCACATGACTGATCGGAAGCTGACCATGGAGCAGATTGCCGAGAAGATCAATGCTGGTGAGGCTGGGGGTCCTGCCTAGGCCCCCGCCCGCCCTGTCCTGTCCCTGTGCTCGTCCCAGACAAGGCGCCCACACCCACCACCTTCCACTCACTGGTTCTGCTCCTCCAGGACACCCCTTCTCCAGGTCCCGTCTGCACTGCTTTTTCCTTCTCATTGTTTCCCCTCCCTCTTTCTAGAAGGGTTCTGTGGGAAGGAGGGGAAAGCTGAAAGAGAGCCCATATGGGGAGAGCTGCGGACGAGCCGTGAGCAGAAGCAGTCCTGCAGCTGCAGTTCTCATTTTCCCAGGTTTCGGTGATGACTTGAACTGCATCTTTAACGATGATAATGCAGAGAAGCTGGTGCTCCGTATCCGCATCATGAACAGCGATGAAAACAAGATGCAAGAGGTAAACGGGGCCCAAGCAGAAATTTATACGTCAGACATAGAAAGCCGTTAAATCTGGTTCCTGACCAAAGCCATTAAAATGAAAGCAGCATTGAGTGCCAGTCACACCACCTAAAGTAGAGATGGGGGGAGGGTGGGTAGCAACGATCTGTAAGAAACGTGAAGCAGCAGCCATATAGATAAAACACGCGGTGTTGGGGAATTCTCTCGCTGTCCACTGGTTAGGACTCCGCGCTTTCACTGCCTAAGGTGTAGGTTCAATTCCTGGTCGCGGAACTAAGATCCAGCAAGCTGCGGGGTGTGGCCAAAAAAAAACAGCCCCAAAACAGACGGTGTTGATTTGGTGGTGTCCCCATAGCCCGGTCACTTGACTGTCTCCTCCCTGCGGCTCCTGTGTGAGGGCAGGTCGGACAGTAGGAATTGCTGTGTCCTAGGGAAGGTGGTGTGACAGCGGGTGAAACAAGACCCAGGAAAATGTTTGACCAGTGACTTCACTCCTAGGCACGGCTCCTAAAAAATTGTTCAGCAGATGTGGATACCTTAATAATACAAACTCAGAACTTACTGTTGAACTGGGGGAGAGTAGATAAGAATGTGTGGATACACGTCCATTAGAGATCACACGTCAAGGCGTTAGTGGGCGGGCGAATGCTCGGTGAGTGCCAGGACGAGAGCAGAGGTGCTGTGCGCCTTGTTACAGCCCTTGGAGCGCGCACAAGAGTGGGAATCGTGTTAAGGTGGTGGAGTGTGGTTGCCTTTTCTGAGGGTTTTTTTTAAATACCATCGTAAAAACACGATAGAAAGTAACCTCACTGGAACTGAAGAGAGCAGGTCTGGGCCACACCTGGCTCTCCAGGTCAGGCTGTGGTTTGGGGTGAGGGCGGGGAGAGACCTGAGAATCCTAGGAGGGCTGACTCGCTCTTGTTGCAGGAAGAAGAGGTGGTGGACAAGATGGATGACGACGTCTTCCTGCGCTGCATCGAGTCCAACATGCTGACAGATATGACCCTGCAGGGCATCGAGCAGATCAGCAAGGTCAGCCGTTCCCTCCCTGCAGCCCGTCCAGACCCTCTTCCTTCCCTCCCCATCCCCACCCGCCCAGCCTGAGCTCACTCTGCCCCCCCGCAGGTGTACATGCACTTGCCGCAGACGGACAACAAGAAGAAGATCATCATCACAGAGGACGGGGAGTTCAAGGCCTTGCAGGAGTGGATCCTGGAGACGGATGGCGTGAGCCTCATGCGGGTGCTGAGCGAGAAGGACGTGGACCCTGTGCGCACCACGTCCAACGACATCGTGGAGATCTTCACGGTGAGCCCCTCAGAGCCTTCTTCCCAGAGCTCAGCTTTCTTCCCGGGTCCCTCTGGCTCAAGGCCCCCTCCGTAGGTCTTGGGCAGTGGTTGTGGTCCGTGCTCTCCCCTCAGGAGAGGGGCTGGTCAGGTGGTTTTATGCCTGAATCCACTTTTGCGTCTGGGCTTCACTGACTCCTGACTGTCCCTCTGTGGATCTGGGTGGTGGCAGCAGGAGGAGAGCAGTTACTCGGTCTTGACCCTTCCCCACCCTTGACCCCCCACCCCCACCCCTGCAATCCCCATGCCAGGTGCTGGGCATAGAAGCCGTGCGGAAGGCCCTGGAGCGGGAGCTGTACCACGTCATCTCCTTCGATGGTTCCTACGTCAATTACCGGCACTTGGCTCTCCTGTGTGATACCATGACCTGTCGTGGCCACTTGATGGCCATCACCCGACACGGAGTCAACCGCCAGGATACCGGACCTCTCATGAAGTGCTCCTTTGAGGAAACGGTAATGGCAGAAGTTCTGAGAGGGTGGAAGGAGAGAGAGCAGGGAGGAGGGATCGCTGCGGGAAGAGGGCATCCTCCACTGTGTGTGACGGGCCTCGGTGCGGTTCCATGGCTGGGTGGGTGGCTGTAACAGTGGTGGGACATAGCGGGGCGGGGTCTGACGGCACGCCCCCTCTTCCGAGGTTTAGGTGGATGTGCTTATGGAAGCAGCTGCACATGGAGAGAGCGACCCCATGAAGGGGGTGTCTGAGAACATCATGCTGGGCCAGCTGGCTCCAGCCGGCACTGGCTGTTTTGACCTCCTGCTCGATGCAGAGAAGTGCAAGTATGGCATGGAGATCCCCACCAACATCCCCGGCTTGGGGGCTGCCGGACGTGAGTACGAGGGGCTATGAGGAGGAGGTGGGGCGGTGGGGAGGCTGCACGTGGGCGCGGCGGCCAGTCCCGGGGCTGTTCATTGTGGGTCACTGTGCGCCTCTCTGCAGCCACCGGCATGTTCTTCGGCTCGGCCCCCAGTCCCATGGGAGGAATTTCTCCAGCCATGACACCCTGGAACCAGGGCGCAACCCCAGCCTACGGCGCCTGGTCCCCCAGTGTTGGTGAGTAGCCAGCCGGGAAGACGGCCCTCTGCGTGGTTCAGAGGGCGGGTGGGCTGGGCTCATGAGGGGTCCCCATGTGGAGATGCTGGGGGCTCTGGGAGTGTGCTGGGCTCCAGCTCTGGTTTTAACTAACGTTTCTCTCATTTCACAGGGAGCGGGATGACCCCGGGGGCAGCAGGCTTCTCTCCCAGTGCTGCTTCGGATGCCAGTGGCTTCAGCCCTGGTTACTCCCCGGCCTGGTCCCCCACGCCGGGTTCCCCGGGCTCCCCTGGCCCCTCAAGCCCGTATATTCCCTCACCAGGTGAGTTGTCCTTGTCTGTCAAGGCCAAGTTCATTTCCTCCTTGATCTTCCTTCTGGGTGAGTCTCTCCATCGCTTAATGCCTTTCTGCTTCTCTCCCACAGGGGGTGCCATGTCTCCCAGCTACTCCCCGACGTCGCCTGCCTACGAGCCCCGCTCCCCTGGGGGCTACACGCCCCAGAGTCCCTCTTACTCCCCCACTTCACCCTCCTACTCCCCTACGTCTCCATCCTATTCTCCAACCAGCCCCAACTACAGCCCCACGTCACCCAGCTACTCCCCGACCTCACCCAGCTACTCCCCGACCTCGCCCAGCTATTCCCCGACCTCGCCCAGCTACTCCCCGACCTCGCCCAGCTACTCCCCGACCTCACCCAGCTACTCGCCCACTTCCCCAAGCTACTCGCCCACATCACCCAGCTACTCGCCAACCTCTCCCAGCTATTCGCCCACCTCTCCCAGTTACTCGCCAACTTCACCCAGCTACTCGCCCACCTCACCTAGCTACTCTCCGACATCTCCAAGCTATTCGCCGACATCACCAAGCTACTCACCAACTTCCCCAAGTTACTCGCCCACCAGCCCTAACTATTCTCCAACCAGTCCCAATTACACCCCGACGTCACCCAGCTATAGCCCAACATCCCCCAGCTACTCACCTACTAGTCCCAACTACACACCAACGAGCCCCAACTACAGCCCAACCTCTCCAAGCTACTCTCCGACCTCACCCAGCTACTCCCCGACCTCACCAAGCTACTCCCCTTCGAGCCCACGATACACACCACAGTCTCCCACCTATACCCCAAGCTCACCCAGCTACAGCCCCAGCTCGCCCAGCTACAGCCCGACTTCACCGAAGTACACCCCAACCAGTCCTTCCTACAGCCCCAGCTCACCGGAGTACACCCCGACCTCTCCCAAGTACTCACCTACCAGCCCGAAATATTCGCCCACCTCCCCCAAGTACTCTCCGACCAGCCCCACCTACTCGCCCACCACTCCAAAATACTCGCCGACGTCTCCTACTTACTCACCAACCTCTCCGGTCTACACCCCAACCTCCCCCAAGTACTCACCCACCAGCCCCACCTACTCGCCCACCTCCCCCAAGTACTCACCCACCAGCCCCACCTACTCGCCCACTTCCCCCAAAGGCTCGACCTACTCGCCCACCTCCCCTGGCTACTCGCCCACCAGCCCCACCTATAGCCTCACCAGCCCAGCCATCAGTCCCGATGACAGTGATGAGGAGAACTGAGGGTGCGCAGTGGCAGCCGGCTAGGGGAAGAGCGGCTTCAGGGTGTCGTGCAGTCCTCCCTCCCCTGAGGGGCGCAGGCCCCGGTCCAGCTCCCTTGTACATAGCTCCTTGTGACAAAGTTCCCTGTTGAGGTTCTGGTCCCATTTCTGCCGGGGCTTTTGTCTTGTTCTCCACTTGTGCCGTCTCAGAACCCACTCACCTGCAGTGGTGTTCCCCTTCTCGCCCTACCTACCCGAGGCCTGTCCCCAAATCCAGGATCCTCCTTGCCTGTGGCTTGATTCGGGAGGTAAAGGGTATTTTAACTTTTTGGGGGTAGTTCCTGCTCTGGGTCGTCACATCTGATTCTCCGGAAGAACAAAGTGAAAGCTGCCTTTTGTTTGTTACTTTTTGAATTTGAAATAAAGTTTACTAATTTTGACCAGAAGTGTGGCTGTTGAGTGCTTTATTAGGAGGCAAGAATACCCAGGCCCCTACTCCCTGTCTGGGCTGCTGTTCCATTTGTCATGTTTTAGCTGATCCCTGCTAATGGGGCAGGGGCAGGGGCAGGAAAACGAGCACAGACAGTACATTCACGGAACAAACACCTACTTTGTGCCAGGCTTTGCTCTGTCCCGGCTTTGTGGTTGAACAGATAGATACAGGCCTTGTCCTGCATTAAAGCAATATTGACATAACATCTTTTTTAACCAATTTTACTGATTATCATAATATGTAATTTAGAAAAGTACAGAAAGGTACAGTACAGAAGCAGAAAAATTATTGCCCTTAACACCACCACCAGGAGGCATGTTTTCTTTGGGTATTTTTCCTACCTGTTTCTCAGGTCACTTGTAATCAGTCTTTGTTTTGGCCTCAAACCAACAATGAGAAGATTATGGTTACTAGGATATGTTTTAAAGCTGAAGTTAAAGAACTTGGTGATAATTTGCTATTTTCAGTTGGCCATTTCATATTTTGTTCCATTAGTTCCTTTTTTTTTTTTAATTTTGGCCACGTGGCTTACAGGATCTCAGTTCCCTGACCAAGGTTTGAACCCAGACCCATGGCAGTGAAAGCCCAGAATCCTAACCACTAGGCCACCAGGGAACTCCCTGAAATATTTCAAAGGATAGTTTAGAAAGTAACATGGGGACTTCCCTGGTCATCCAGTGGGTAAGACTCTGTGCTCCCAATGCAGCGGGTCCAGGTTCAATCCCTGGTCAGGGAACTAGATCCTACAAGCATGCTGTGCAACTAAGAGTTCGCATGCTGCAACTAAGAAGCCTGCATGCCACAACTAAGAAGTCCGCATGCTGCAACTAAAAGATCCCACATGCCACGTGCTGCAACTAAGACCCAGCACGGCCAAAAGAAAGAAAGAAAAATAAATATGAAAAAAAAGAAGAAACATGGCCAAGATCTATTAATTTATCACTAAGATTATAGGTGGTAGATACCATTTTGCAGTATTTAATCCAGATCTTAAATTGTTTTGAAAGAGATGACTTGTTTTTATAAAAGGGTATTATAAAAGATCCAAGCACGGTAGAAAAAAGAATAACATCTTCCCAATCCCCTGAATTACTGTTGGCAATTGGTGAACATAATTCCAGACAGCTCTTTCACCGTATAGAATGATAGAAGGATAGATAGAAAGAAATGGCTTTTTTCCTTGTGATGAGAACTCAGGATTTACTTTTTTTGTTTTAAGTTTTTTTTTTTTTTAGTATTTATTCGGTTGCATTGGGTCTTAGTTGTGGCAGGCGGGCTCCTTAGTTGTGGTATGTGAACTCTTAGTTGTGGCACGCACGAGGGATCTAGTTCCCCGACCAGGGATCGAACTCGGGGTCCCCTGCATAGGGAGTGCTGAGTCTTAACCACTGTGCCACCAGGGAAGTCCCAGGATTTACTTTTTCAACAACTTCCCAATATACTGTACAGCAGTGTTAACTATAGTCATCATGTTGTACATGGCATCCCCAGTACTTATATTTATCTAACAACTGGAAGTTTGTACCTTTTGACCACCTTCATCTAATTCCTCCACCCCATGCCCCACCCCCATAACCACAAATCTGATTTCCTTTTGTATGAGTTTAGTTTGTGTTCTATTTGTTTTAGATTCCACATGTGACATTATATAGTAGTAGTAGTATTTTTTTTTTTTTTTTTTTTAGTAGTAGTATTTTTTGTCTGCACCATGCAGCATGAGGGATCCTAGTTCCCTGACCAGGGGGTTGAACCTGAGCCCCCCACAGTGGAAGCGCGGAGTCCCAACAATTGGACCCCCAGGGAAGTCCCTGTATAATGTTTCTTTTTTCTCTGTTTGACTTATTTCATTTAGCATAATGCCCTCAAGGTCCATCCATCTTGTCACAAATGTCACAATACTTAAATACTAAGGAAGTGAAATCTGCCAGGATGAGGCAAGCACAGTGCTCTCTGCAAGCGCAAAATTTAAGGGGCAACAAAAAAACACATAATCAAGATAAATAATATTTTAATGCAATATTTAAAAACTCAAAATTAATGTAAAAGTCCATGATGAATGAAATAGTAACAGTTTAAATTTAAAAAGGATCCAGATGAATGATTTTCCCCCGTTTGCCTCTGGCCCCGATGTGACTTGGCATGGCCCTGGTCTTTGCAGGTGTAGTTCCGTGGTCTCACATCTCTTTCGAGGACTCACAAGGCCTTGTTTGCTTGTGTGTTTTACAGCTTTAGATTGTGAGCTGCTCTTTTTCCTTGGAACTCTATCTGTGGGAGAACTTTGAGTCCTTGATCGAAGTGGCATACCTATAGAGAGAACGTGTATTTGCTTTCTCCTGGCGTGCGGCTGCACTAGCAACCTGGGAACCCTTTGCATTTTTTTAAAATTAATTAATTAATTTGGCTGCGTTGGGCCTTTGTTGCTGTGTGCGGGCTTTCTCTAGCTGCAGCGAGCAGGGGCTACTCTTTGTCTCAGTGCACAGGCTTCTCATCGTGGTGGCTTCTCTTGTTGCAGAGCACAGGCTCTAGGCACGCGGGCTTCAGTAGTTGCAGCACGCAGGCTCTAGAGTGCAGGCTCAGTAGTTGTGGCGCACGGACTTAGTTGCTCCGCGGCATGCGGGATCTTCCTTGACCAGGGCTCGAACCCGTGTCCCCTGAATTGGCAGGTGGATTCTTAACCACTGGGCCACCAGGGAAGTCCCCAGTTATATACTCTTATCAATGTATTTAAATGGCTCATCTGTAGTCTTACCACTGCTTCTCTGCTGTCATCTTTTTTATTCATCTGTCTGGAATGTTTTTCAGAAAAGGCTCATAATTGCCTCGTTATAGTCCCTTAATCTTTTATTTTGAGACTATCTTCCTGTAGCCTTCAAAATTGAAGCACATCTTGGCTGGATATTTCTTTCCCTCACAATTTTGTGGACATTGCTTGATTTTTGTATTGGTTAGGTTCTCCAGAGAAACAGAACCAGTAGAATGAATAAATATATATAAATAAATATATATATATATATAAATTCATAAACAGAAATTCATATATATATATATATATATATATATTATACTATGGAGGAATTGACTCAAGGCTCAAGGATTATGGAAGCTGAGAATTCCCATGATCTGCCATCTACAAGCTGGAGACCCAAGAAAACCAGTGGTGTAATTCAGCCCAAGTCTGAAGGCCTGAAAAGATTAGATGAGATGTCACAGCTCAACCAAGTGAGGCTGGAAAGAAAAGGGGTGAATTTCTCCTTCCTCCATCTTTTGTTCTATTCAGACCTTTGATGGATTGGACGATGCCATCTGCTTTACTGAGTCTACCAATTCAAATGCTAATCTCATCAAGGACAGCTTTACAGACACACTCAGAAATAATATTTAATCTGGGCACCCTGTGACCTGTCAAGTTGACACATAAATTTAACCATGACCAGTCCACCCCTTTTCAATTTGTACCCAGATGCACCTCTTTAAACCATACTTAATCTCCAAATAAAGACAATAACAAGATCATAATTCCATGATGCAACTGTCATGTGTACAACTGAAAATACACTAACCCCTTCCCCAGAAGAAGAGGTGAAGTCCTTGAGTAGTGTTTAGTCTTCCTGATATGCCATAACTTAAATACTATGACGCAAAATTAACAATACTTAAATACTATGATATAGAGTCAATACATCTTATGTTACATGATAAGGGAATAAGAGAGGAAAGAAAACAAAGAGAGATACACATACACAAACATATTCATAAAGCAATGAGGAAATAAATATTCATAACAGTTATAGTCCTAATTTCTGTAACTAGCCATGTGGTCATAGCTGGTATTTATAACTACCTTCTTCTACTACCCATTCTGTATTCCCTTTGCCTTCAGCAAGCACCTCAGCTGGTCATGGTTCTTCACTTGGTGGGGTGACCCAAACCTTCATTCTTGAAGGGGCTAGACCATTACTAATTCTTCCTCAATTGGATTGCTGTCATTTTCCATTGACTTTAATTACAGGACATGGTAATGCTAAGAGATGCCCACACATATTCTTCCTTACCTCCATGGTGGATAGTAGTCCAATTTCTCCTTGGCAGTCAGGATCAATCACCCCAGCTAGCCAACACCATAACTCCCTTCTTTGCCCGTTGAGTGAGAGGCATGAGATGCCCAAAGTGGCCGGGTGGCAGTCTTAACTTCCAGTTCAATGAAATCATTGTTGAGTCTCCTGGTGGAAGCATCCTTCCCTCTGGATCTAAGACCTCTAGGTCAGCAGAGCATAAAGTCATAGGAACAGGAAGGAAAAATGTTGCTGGTGAGTCATTAGGGGTAATAGTGAGTGGTGCCACTCCCTTGATTCCTGGACCCATGAATCCTGGCTATCAGAGAATCAGGACCATATATCAAATGCTGATTCAGAGCACAGACAGCCTCCCAAAGAACCTTGCCCCAGCCCTGCAAGGTATTGCCACCTAGCTAGCACTGGAACTGAGTCTTCAGAAGGCCATTACATAGTTCTTTCAAGCCAGTTGCTTCAGGGTGGTGTGGAATATGGAGAGACCAGTGAATTCCATGAGCATGGTCCTGTAACCACACTTCTTTTGCTGTGAAGTGAGTTCTTTGATCAGAAGCAATGTGGTATGGACTACCATGACATGTGGATAAGTCCAGGGATGGTAGTTTTGGCAGAGTCATTGCATGCAGCATTGCATTTTGCCAAACGTATCCAGAGGGTCTATTCCAGTAAGAGTAAAACACTGCCCTGCCCATGGTGGAAGCCATCCAGTGTCATCAACCTGACAGCATCTCTCTGTCACGGACACTTCAGGCACCATTGGGTCTGCTGGATCCTGTGACCCGAAGGGCAGAGCAGCCTGAACAGCAGCCTGGACCTATCACACAGCCTTCCCTTGTTCTGGACCCCACTGAAAACTGCTTTTTGGGTCACTCAGTAAATGGGC